AACTGAGAGCTGGTTAGTCAGAATTAGCTGGTATTGTGTGTAATCACCCCCTCCCCCGGCCTTCCCCGCTGCTACCGACGTAGGACATACATCAGCGGAAGAGAAAGGGTTAAAGCCCATTGTACCCTTCATTTTGCCTTCCTCGTTGACTCCACAGTATATCACTAAAATGGTAAAATTTCAGGGAGATGGAAAATCTTATTTTCACTCCTCTCTATAGCTCATCTCCGACAGCATCTTTCCAACCTCTTCCTGTCTATATAGACCCCACGAATGGCTGCACGGCATTTCTCAGGATGGGTTTCCTGATGGCGACGAATATTGGACAATGCCTGTGTTGAAACGGCCAATTGTAGTCTCCATTGGAAGCTGATGTGACAGTGTGACAACGCAGGAGCAGAATTAAGAGACAGGGCAGAGTGTTGTCACCCTATAACAGGAAGTGCCTGAACAAGGGACCTTCATGGCAGCACAGAAATCCAGCAAACCCAGAGAGCTCTTGCAACCTCTTCCTGTCTATATAGACCTCACGAATGGCTGCATGGCATTTCTCAGGGCGGGTTTCCGGATGGCGACGAATATTGGACAATGCCTGTGTTGAAACAGCCAATTGTAGCCTGCATTGGAAGCTGATGTGACAGTGTGACAACGCAGGAGCACAATTAGGAGATGGGGGCAGAGTGTTGTCACCCTATAACAGGAAGTGCCTGAACAAAAGGACCTTCATGGCAGCACAGAAATGCAGTAAACCCGGAGAGCTCTTGCAATCTCTTTCTGTCTATATAGACCCCACGAATGGCTGCATGGCATTTCTCAGGGCGGGTTTCCGGATGGTGATGAAAATTGGACAATACCTGTGTTGAAACGGCCAATTGTAGCCTCCATTGGAAGCTGATGTGACAGGGTGACAACGCAGGAGACGGGGACAGAGTGTTGTCACCCTATAACAGGAAGTGCCTGAACAAAAGGTCCTTCATGGCAGCACAGAAATACAGTAAACCCAGAGAGCTCTTGCAACCTCTTCCTGTCTATATAGACCCCACGAATGGCTGCATGGCATTTCTCAGGGCGGGTTTCCGGATGGTGATGCAAATTGGACAATACCTGTGTTGAAACAGCCACTTGTAGCCTCCATTGGAAGCTGTTGTGACAGTGTGACAACGCAGGAGCACAATTAGGAGACGGGGACAGAGTGTTGTCACCCTATAACAGGAAGTGCCTGAACAAAAGGACCTTCATGGCAGCACAGAAATCCAGTAAACCTGAGAGCTGGAATACTTTTCAAGACACTAATGAGGGCCATACATAGGTCAAATCCTGAATGAGTTTTCTTTAGAAAATCGGAATTTTCGTGCGTTTTGTAATCTGATGATGACACCATTGATTTCGAAATTCGACTGACCAGGCCTTCAATTTTATCTCATGTTGCTGCAGAAAAGAAAATTTGTGGCCGGGAATCTTCCTTTCTTTCCAGGTCACAGCTCACGCCATGGTCGGACTGACAACTCATGGGGCCCCCGGGAAATAGGGGATCATGGGGCCCCTGTGTCCTTGCCCACACTCAAACCACACCCAAAAAAGCCTATGAAAGGTACCAGGGGCATCTCATGGGGCCCCCTACTGACCCCGGGCCCTCGGGCAGTGCCCAAGTTCCCAAATGGTCAGTCCACCCCTGGCTCACACTCATTTCTTTTTCGATTATATTTCTGTGTGAGAATTCTCCCATCATTGATTAAAAATTTGTTCGCTTTTCCAAAAATTTCCAACATGCCTGATCACTGAAATTCGATGGCTGCGCGAAAATCAGCCTATGCTGCGGCCCCACTAATGGTGAAAAATTCTAACGAAAATTCTTCAGAATTCGACCCATGTATGGTCGGCTTAAGGCCTCGTGCACACTGGGCAAGCCTGCTTGCATTCTGAGGATTTGCCCCTAGGGGCACACTTTCCGAAACATTATTGCACCTGTGCCTTCCACCTGCACAAAATTGCCGATATCTCCATATTTAATGCAGGCCATAGACGGGTTAAAAACCGCCGTTTTTTTTTAAAAAATGAAAAATCGGTCATTCAATAGGCCGACGTTACCACCAATGGTAAAAAAAATTGGCCGATTTTCGTCCCGTCTACGGCCGGCATTTAATTACTTCTGTCCCTTGCAGAGAGCTCCACTATTATATTTGACGTGAAAAGGTATTGCGGTTGCAACAATGTATCCATTTGTATCCATTTCGGATACAGATGTTTTTATTCGGATACAAATGGATACATTGTTGCAACCGCAATACTTTCATGTCAAATATAATAGCGGACTGCAATTCTTCTTCTTTTTCTTCTTCCTCTCTTTTTCTTCTTCTTCTTCTATTTCTTCTTCTTGCAGGTCGCGGCTCAATCACAGATTTTTTATCGGTAAAAAGATCGTCCGATTTGCCCATCATTGCCGAGAAAATTGTGGCCGATCGGCAAAATCGGACGATTTTTTTTTTCCAACTTCACCGATAAAAAAAATGTGCCAAAACCCCAAAAAACGGCCGACCAATTAACTCATTAATGGTGCAAAAATCGGCCTATTTTTTTTTTTCGGACGAAAAAAATCGGCCGATTTGCGACCCGCCTATGGCCTGCATAAGTACCCAGTCGTACTGGTGCGATTTGCGAATTAAAATCGCACCTGAAATCGCATCTCATGAATGTGAATGTCAGCGTCTTAACATGTATGATTTGCTGCATCGCGATTTCTAAAGTAGTTCTTGTGTGACTTTTTCTGCAGTTTTGTTGCGATTTCACACACATAGAATACAATGGAAATCACGCTGCAAACTGCAAGAAATCATTGAAAATCTTCACAAGTAGCAATAAAGTCTTCAGAAATCGCACTGAAATTGCACACAAATCGTGCGATTTTAAATCTCAGCAGTGTGACCGGCGACTAACACAGCAGGGCTGAACGCACAGAGCGCAGGAGGCCTAAATCTATGGAGCGCTCACATAAGACGCAGAAGTCGCCCTCCTTCCTCTCTGCTGCCCCATCTGCTAATTACCGTCATCAATAGAGCGCAGCTAATTCTGTCTCACATGCAATATATGGAGACATTTACCGTCCATCGTACTGCTGATCTCGTCCCTGTAAGTGAGAGAAGATGAGGTTTGTCATTTCCCCCAAATTCTGAAAAATCAGATTTCAGTGGAAGCAGCAGTGTCATGTGTACAACGCAGGTGAGATGTCATCGCTGGGCCGACAGAGGAGAAGGAAGAAGGCAGCTGCCCATGACTTTTCTTTTAAAGTGTTACTAAAACCCCGGACCCCGCATTCACTATATCCGCTCTCCCCGGACCCCGCATTCACTATATCCACTCTCCCCGGACCCTGCATTCACTATATCCGCTCTCCCCGGACCCTGCATTCACTATATCCGCTCTCCCCGGACCCCGCATTCACTAGATCCGGTCTCCCCGGACCTTGCATTCACTACATCCACTCTCCCCGGACCCCGCATTCACCAAATCTGCTCTCCCCGGACCCCGCATTCACTACATCCGCTCTCCCGGACCCCGCATTCACTACATCCGCTCTCCCCGGACCCCGCATTCACTACATCCGCTGTCCCCGGACCCCGCATTCACTATATCCGGACCCCGCTCTCCCCGGACCCCGCATTCACTATATCCGCTCTCCCCGGACCCCGCATTCACTACATCCGCTCTCCCCGGACCCCGCATTCACTACATCCGCTCTCCCCAAACCCCCGCATTCACTACATCCGCTGTCCCCGGCTCCCGCATTCACTATATCCGCTCTCCCCGGACCCCGCATTCACTATATCCGCTCTCCCCGGACCCCGCATTCACTATATCCGCTCTCACCGGACCCCGCATTCACTATATCCGCTCTCCCCGGACCCCGCATTCACTATATCCGCTCTCCCCAAACCCCGCATTCACTACATCCGCTGTCCCCGGCTCCCGCATTCACTATATCCGCTCTCCCCGGACCCCGCATTCACTATATCCGCTCTCCCCCGGACCCCGCATTCACTATATATCCGCTCTCCCCGGCTCCCGCATTCACTATATCCGCTCTCCCCGGACCCCGCATTCACTATATCCCCTCTCCCCGGACCCCGCATTCACTATATCCAATTCCTAGCATGCTTTGCAGCTTCTCCTCCATTTCTAAACACTAGCTATCCCATGGTACCTTGATGATTCCTGTACTGACTCCGCCTTCTGAAACTCCTCCTTGCAGAAGGTGAGCTCTGTGAAATGTGTGACACCGCAGAGCCTTCTCCATTGGAATCCAATGTGGACATTTCTGTATATTTGTATTCTGACCAGAGGTACATTTTAAATTAGCAGCACAGCTTTCCAAGCAGCGGGGAACACACAGAGCTCAGTCTGGGGAACTTTAATTGACAGAATGTATTAAGGTAGTCAGATTTCTTAAGAGAAGGTAGGGGCTCTTTAAAATCACATGACCCTTGATTTGATGCAGCAGACAGCAACATACCTCTGTGCGTTGCCTTAGGGCGTTGTGCTGCCGGATGCACTTCCCCAGTAAGTTGGGGTGCCGTTCAAAACGAATGGTGTCCTAGTGCATGTTACATGTGTTCCTACACCCTGTAAAGAAGAGTCAACTTTTTTACAGAAAATTTTGCACAAGCAGCTCAGTGAGCAAAAGAGAGTTACTGCTGCAGCAAAATGACGCCCGAATCACTCATCCTGAACATTGGTACATGGCGGGATGGGCACACATTTCCACTGTGTTCTACAAATGAAGTGCAACCTTAACAAGCAATAAATACATTCTAAAACTGAACTCGATCCAGCAGGACAGGGAGGTGACTGACCTCAGGTGATGCACAGAGATGAAACAAATCCTCCTACATAAGTTGTACCTGTTTATCGGCAGTATTCTCTACTTCCATTCAAAGTGCATAACTTAGACAGGATCTCTCTTACAGCGGGAAGAATGTCCCTTACATTGGTGGTCATTGAGAAGCATGTCCCTTACATTGGTGGTCAGTGGGAAGAATGTCCCTTACATTGGTGGTCAGTGGGAAGAATGTCCCTTACATTGGGGGTCCGTGGGAAGAATGTTCCTTACATTGGTGATCAGTGGAGAGAATGCCCCTTACATTGGAGGTCAGCGGGAAGAATGCTCCTTACATTGATGGTCAGTGGGAAGAATGTCCCTTACCTTGGTGATCAGTGGGAAGAATGCCCCTTACATTGGGGGTCAGTGGGAAGAATGTCCCTTACATTGGGGGTCAGTGGCAAGAATGTCCCCTTACATTGGTGATCAGTGGGAAGAATGCTCCTTACATTGGTGGTCAGTGGGAAGAATGTCCCTTACCTTGGTGATCAGTGGGAAGAATGTCCTTACATTGGGAGTCAGTGGGAAGAATGTCCCTTACATGGGGGGTCAGTGGGAAGAATGTCCCTTACATTGGGGGTCAGTGAGAAGAATGCTCCTTACATTGGTAGTCAGTGGGAAGAATGTCCCTTACATTGGGGGTCAGTGGGAAGAATGTCCCTTACATTGGGGGTCAGTGGGAAGAATGTCCCTTACATTGGTGGTCAGCGGGAAGAATGTCCCTTACATTGGTGGTCAGTGGGAAGAATGTCCCTTACATTGGTGATCAGTGGGAAGAATGTCCCTTACATTGGGGTCAGTGGGAAGAACGTCACTTACATTGGTGGTCAGTGGGAAGAATGTCCCTTACATTGGTGGTCAGTGGGAAGAATGTTCCTTACATTGGTGGTCAGTGGGAAGAATGCTCCTTACATTGGTGGTCAGCGGGAAGAATGTCCCTTACATTGGTGGTCAGTGGGAAGAATGTCCCTTACATTGGTGGTCAGTGGGAAGAATGCTCCTTACATTGGTGGTCAGTGGGAAGAGTGTCCCTTACATTGGTGGTCAGTGGGAAGAATGCTCCTTACATTGGTGGTCAGTGGGAAGAATGTTCCTTACATTGGGGGTCAGTGGGAGAATGTCCCTCACATTGGTGGTCAGCAGGAAGAATGTCCCCCTTACTGTACTGGTCAGGGTGTCAGCATATCAGTCAGGAAACCAGCATTTTCAGGTGTAGGCCAACAACAGTAGCCCCTAAATTACAGGTTTGGTCTCAGGCTCGCTGTCTTTTAAAGCAACAACCCGTGCAATCATCAATTTACTTGACTTTTCTACAGAAATCTAAAAGATAATTTGCTTGCAGTACCTTTAGCTGATTCGTGTGACAAAAAAAAAACAATCAGCGGATTGAAATCACCTTTCTGCCTGTAGGAAATAAGGCGATGATGCCGGGGAATGAAAATCCTGCATGCATCTAGCTGAGTGTTTAGTGAGAAAGGAGTCCTCTGTGCTGACCTGCCGCCGTCAGACTGATTGTGTCCTGGTGATTGACAGCTATTGATGTGCCAGTCAGTTTCTGCAACAGAAGAACAGGAAGCGGAAATTAGTTTTTCCTATATCATTGTTCTAGAACCCGAGGGGGTCCACGAGGAAGGAACAGAGGAAAAATGAGAATAGTAACAGTGTGGTAACAATGGCCATGGTAGTGTGTGTGGCTGCTGTGGGGCCCGGGGATGGAAGGGGCCCCATTAGGGGGGCTGTTGAGGCATTTTCAACATGGAGTGAGCAGGTAAACATAACAGTTTATTGTTAACCACTTCCCGCCGGCAGTACACATATATGCAGCGTCTAGGCAGTTGGGCCCTAAAGTCGAACGGCAGAATTTATGTGTCCCAATGTCGATATTTTACTGTGCTGAGAGCGCACTCCCAGGACATTGGGCAGGAACGTGACCCGGAATAAGAAAACAACTGCTGCAAAAGGGATTGCAGAGCTCAATCTCAGTCTTCACGGGACTGAGATTGAGCTCTGCACTCAATCTCAGTCCCGCTCACTTTTGCAGTAGTTGTTTTCTTACTCCGGGTCACGATCCTGCGCAATGTCCTTTTTGTCTCTTTCCATTAGTTGACCGTGTTAACCGCGGCTATGCTTGATGACGGTTTCCCGGAAACTGTATACGCCACCATTAGCTTTTATCCTGGACCCCGCCAAACGGCCAATAAATTGGTAACTTCAGTCACAGAGGCACCAGATAAGTGGCACCAACAATTTGCCCTCTTTGAAGCTCAGTAAGTTCTGACATGACTCTGTATTACTAGCAGCGCATGCAGTGAATGAGGAAAGTGTAACAGGCAGCACAGTGGATAAATGGTTAGCACTTCCGCCTGGCAGTACTCGGGTTGTTGGTTCGAATCCCAACCACGGCACCACCTGCCTGGAGCTTGCATGTTCTCCCCGTGCCTGCGTGGGTTTCCTCCAGTTACTTCCCACACTCCAAAGACATGCCAGTAGCTTAATTGGCTGCTGTCTACATTGGCCCTAGTATGTGTATGTGTGAATGTGCGTTAGGGACCTTAGATTGTACGCCCCTTGAGGGTTAGGGACCTTAGATTGTACACCCCTTGAGGGTTAGGGACCCTATAAAAAGGTACCAGGGGCATTTCATGGGGTCAATATAAAACCAATTAATACGGCGCTAAATATACAGAGTTATATATACCATATAATGTAGTAGCTGACATAGGAATAGCTGACATATATATATAAAGGATATTACATGCATGAAGGTGAGTAAAAACGTGAATAATGTCCTAAATAAATGAACATAAAGTGAATGGTGTCCTTAGTGGGTCACACGGACTTCATGCAGGTGTGAGCCACAATGTGCCAATCCTCTAAGTCTGGGGTGCCCCCTCACCTTCCTGCTCAGGCCCCCAGGGACCAAAGAGCTTATAATGCTGATAGTGATGATCCTGCTGGTCAATGGATCCTGCTGGTGATAGTAGTGCCACTCACTCCTTCTGGCGTATCTACGCGTTTACGTGGACGTAACGCGTAGATACGCCAGAAGGAGGAGCTTCCTACGATTGACGGCTTGACGTCACATCCGGCGTGGACGCCATCTTGGTGCTCCAAGCTTTGAATACAGTACACAGTACCCCTTGGAGAGGTGTTAAGGCCTGCTTACTATCTGACTCGTGTAAGTAGGCTCTTGGTTGTTTTTACTCAAAATAAAAGGTTTTATACTATGTAAGTCTCTCTTGCCTCACTGGTGACCGTACTGGAGAGCCTTTATCGGAGAGACACCACGGGCAGTGCTGAGGTTACCATTCCCTACTAAGACCTACCAGGAGGAGTGAGTGGCACTACTATCACCAGCAGGATCCATTGACCAGCAGGATCATCACTATCAGCATTATAAGCTCTTTGGTCCCTGGGGGCCTGAGCAGGAAGGTGAGGGGGCACCCCAGACTTAGAGGATTGGCACATTGTGGCTCACACCTGCATGAAGTCCGTGTGACCCACTAAGGACACCATCACCATTCACTTTATGTTCATTTATTTAGGACATTATTCACGTTTTTACTCACCTTCATGCATGTAATATCCTTTATATATATATGTCGCAAAGCTATTCCTATGTCAGCTACTACATTATATGGTATATATAACTCTGTATATTTAGCGCCGTATTAATTGGTTTTTATATTGAGTTGTTGTCTTTGGTGCTGTGGCTGTGGCACTACTAATACAGGCTGCTTTTTATCATTTAATCATTTACATCCACATTTTGGCGCAGGAGATTATCCTTTTCATTTCATGGGGTCCCCTACTGACCCCGGGCCCTCGGGCAGTGCCCGAGTACTTGAATGGTCAGTCCGCCCCTGCAGTGAAGTGATTGGCCTCAGGTGATACACAGAGATGAAACAAATCCTCCTACATAAGTTGTACCCATTTATCTGCCATATTCTCTACATCTATTCAACGTGCATAATTTATGCAGCTTGTCTGAGCTTCCAAAAAGTAGGAGGCAGGGAGCTGAATTTACACTCTGCAGAGCTCAATGAGGAGAATTCTGAGAGCTGATTGGAGGGAAGGGACACAGACCCCTCCACATAGCATACAGGAAAAGAGTTGAGGCTGTCAATCAAAGGCTGAGTGCTGGAGCTCCCTTCCGTGTCACCATTTTTTTCTTGGTGTCAGGAAAAACCTAAGTGACTCATGCAGAGATAACAGAGAAACAAAGGGGCAGACATGAATGACACTTTACAGAGGGATATGCTTCATTCATATTTGATATATTCATAGGGACAAACACTTAAGCGTGTGTGTGTGGAAGGGTTCTGACGATTCTCCTCATATTTCCGTACGTTTTTTCCCACGTTCAGTTTTTCTCCACTCAACCCCAAAACACACCGGTAGTTTTAGTCAACATCTACCATTGCTGCACTTCAAGTTTCTGTTTGTATGACTGTGGGGGAACAGAGTGTAAATTTTTTGTTTATTAAGATCTTGCAAACAAAAAACACATCATAAAAATCATATTTACATATATACAGAATAAAAATATGTATAATTAAACAAAACCAGCTTACTTCAGCAAAATAACAAATCCTGACCGTCACCTAAACCCCCCCTCAGGCTAAGAAACGATTAAACATTCACCCCACACATTCATCCCACACATTCATCCCATACATCGATCCCATACATTCATCCCACACATTCATCCCATACATTGATCCCATGCATGCAGCCTTTCTTCAAAAATCTGATGTTACAAAATCTAGGGGACGTGAAAGGACAGAAAGAGAAGCCACGCCCCCAGAGACTGACAGACAGCAGCTACAGGGACCTGACATTCCTCCACGCCTTTGTCCGGGCTCTCGGCCGCCACCTGTCCTTCTCAAGACCCCGAATCTTCCCAACCTCACCCAGAATGTTGTTCACCACCACCTCGACAGGAAGGATTTTTTTGCGAATGGAAACCTGACACCGTGCATTCCACGTGGTGGTAACGGACTACTAAGCTAACTAGAAAAAGTGTCTCAAAATCAAAATCCCGGTGAGTCTGAAAGGCTCCGTAAGACCACTCCGCATAACTCAAGCGGGAAAGGAAAGGGATCCCCAGAGCCCCACCCACCCGCTTGTAGACTTCTATATTGAAGGGGCACTGAAGCAAGAAATGGTCCATCGTCTCCTCCACTCCACCACACTCCACTCTTGGACACCACGGTTCTCCGCAGAGCGATGCTTCAGGTTGCCCTTCACATAGAGTCTGCCATGGAACGAGAGCCAGGCCAAATCCCGAAACTTTAAAGGGATTCTCTCCAGATTCATCAAACGCAGACCCTCCCTCATAACCGGGCCTGGGCAATCCCTCAAGGCCAATGGCTCGCTAAAGGCAGATTCAACAACCCTGCTCTCCAGGGCCTTCCTAGGAAGAGATTTAATTTCCTCCGCCGTCACTCGCCATTGCCGAAGCATTTTCAGACACGGGGCAACATAAGCCAGGAGCTTACCATGTTGGACCCTCAGGCTTTTCACCGGCCCACCATTCTCCCAGCTCCGTAGAAAAGGCCTAAACCAGGACTGAAAAATACCAACCCACCCAGGCGGTTCCTCTGCCAGCATGCTACCAAAATTATGTTTCAAAAACATCAGAGAAAAGAAAACCACCGGGTTGACCATACCTAGGCCACCCATCCGCCTGGGAAGATAGGTTACAGACCTCTTAATGAGGTTCAGTTTGTGCCCCCATAACAGCTGGAAGAAACAACTGTAGATCCTCGCATAGAGAGACACTGGCAAAACACAGACAAAGCTGACATACAGAAATACCGGGATCAGGTAAGTTTTAATCAGGTCAATCCTTTCCCTGTAAGAGAGTTTCCAATCCTTCCAGCTGGCCACCTTGGCATCGGCATCTTGTAGCCTGCTTACCCAATTTGTAAGGCCGTAATCACCGGGACCAAATCTGATGCCTAATACTTTAATTTCCTGCTGGGGCTCTGGGAAGGCGTCCGGAAGGGTAAAGCCTTCTCCATCCTCTCCCATCCAGAAAACCTCACTCTTATCCTGATTGATCTTTGAGCCAGATGCCTCAGCATACTGTTCCA